GAGCAAGAGCCTTTATTGCAGTTTCCATGGGAAGGATTGCACAGGGCACGGCAAGCAGGCTAAGCTGTCTGAGGGTTGGCTCGTCTGAATAATTCCAGCAGGCCCAAGGTGGAGGGACCCTTCTGAGTTATCTGGTACCTGGCCCTGGGCTGATTAGAGGAGGGGAATATTGGCCTGGAAGTGTAGGAAAGGCTGTGGTTGAGGGGTCTGGGCTTTGGATTAATGGGTTTGTATATGAAAGGCAGGCTTGCAGAAGAGTAGTTTGTTATCTCTAGGAATATGCTAGCCCAAGGAGATGCAGCCTCTCCCAGGTCGCAAAGGCCCCAGGATGTCAAAGCATCATAAAATGCAAAGAATAAAAAACATGATTAATACACTTCATTGCCAACTGAACACTTTTGCCTTATAAGGTAGTTTTCCTCATCTTACTTAATGCTTTTTGGCCTGAATTCTACCTTGTTTGATACAAGATCATAACCTCAGTTCTGTTGTTATTGTTGTTTTGTCTTTGTCTTGTATACCTGATAAACTACTGTCTATCTGTTTTAGTTGTGACCTTTCTAAATCACTTTGCTCTAGGTGTGTCTCTTATATACAGCAAATGATTCATCTTTCTTTTTAGAGATAATGTAAAAATCCTTTTCTTTAAATAGTTGTGTTAAGTCTACTTAAATTTATTGCTATGACAGATATGGTTGGTTTTAGTTCTGTCATAGTTTCTGTTTTTCTGTATAAATATTTTAAATGTCTTTCACTATGCTATCTTAGCTTTTTATTTTAGAATATTTTTTCTGATATTTAAAAAATTATGTTAATGGTTTCTTTTTTAACCACTGGTATATAACAACTATAACTACTTATAATTATGTTTATAACTAGTGGTTACATAAGTTTGCCTTTATGTAATATCCTATATCCCTTTTTCTTTAGACAATATCAGTTTATTCCCTATATGCCTCAATAAAACAAGCTTCTATCTTCTTCCTTCATTCTCCCCTCTCTCTTCTACCATCTGATTTAACCAATAGTATATCTTTTGTCTGCTCTTATTGTTTCCCCTTCTACTATTAAATATGCTTACATGTACATATTTGACCTGTCAACTGTAGTTTTGTTTTGTGTTTTTGTTATTGTTGTTATTTTTGAGACAGTCTTGCTCTGTCGCCCAGGCTGGAGTGCAGTGGTACAATCTCAGCTCACCGCAACCTCCACCTCCCAGGTTCAAACAAGTCTTGTGCGTCAGCCTTCTGAGTAGCTGGGACTACAGGCGTGTCCCACCATGTCCAGGTAATTTTTGTATTTTTAGTAGAGACAGAGTTTCGCCATGTTGGCCAGGCTAGTCTCAAACTCCTGGCCTCAAGTGATCTGCCCACTTTGGCCTCCCAAAGGTGTGAAATACTGCATCTGGCCTGACCTGTCAACTGTAAACATTATCTTTGCAGTCTCTTGTGTAACAGCTGAGGCATTGCAAATTTATTCTGCTTTCTAAATTCTACCATTTTTGTTGATTGGGTCATTTTCATTTTGACACAATATTGATATTCTTCTTTATCACTTGTATCTCTATCTTTGCTTTTTCTTAGATGTGCAGTTAAGAAAACTTACTGCTCCTTTGCCAAACTCTTATTCATCTCTTGATTGGCTGGAGTTCATCCTCTAGTAGTTTTCTCAAAAAGTGTCCATTTGAGAAATGTTTTCTGAACTATTCATGTTTTAAATGGTTTGTCTACAGCCTTTATACAGAAAAGAGTAGACTGGATGTACATAAAACCTTCTTAGCTCATATTGCTTTCTTTCCTTCAGTATCTTGTAGATATGGCCCTACTGTCTTTTGGCATTGAATGTTGCTGCCGAGAAGTATGTTGCCAACCTGATTTTCTTTCTTTTTTGCTTACATATTTAAAAAATTATCTTTATCTTTAAAAGAGGATAATTTTTAAAGGATATATGTTGGTATTGACTAAGAACAGTTTCCTTATACTGTGTGCCCTTTAAATATGTAAAAACAAATATTTCAAAAAGTTTGTTTTTTTAACTAAAATCTTTAAATTCTTTTTTTTCCTTTTCCATTATTTTAGATTTCTTATTTGGGGCTCCAATTATGAGTATGTTGGATTTTTTTTTAACCTACTTTATATCTAACATTTTTCTTTAACCCTGTGTTTCTTTATTTCTGTTTTGTCTCCTTATTTTTCATATTTATCATTCATTCTTGCTATGCAATCTGTAGTCTGTTTTCTCTTTTCTCCCTTATAGTTTAACTTCATTCCTAAAACAATTTGACTCCTTTTCCCCCTGAGTTTAGTCAGTTTCTGTTTCACCTCCTCTTGTGAGTTCATGTATATCTGATTTATAGTTTTTCTTCAGAGCTATGATGGTTTTGTACTAAATTAAAGCAACTCATCCCTCTCTGAGTGCCAAAATACATATGTTAAATTTAACTCAAAATCCACTGCCTCTTAAGACAATGAAAAAAAAATCAAATGATTTAGAAGTTTAAGGCATAAGCATTTTCAGCAGTAAACTGTACTAGAGGTTGTAGTTCTTACCATGAAACCTGTGCCTGCTAGTAATCCAATAACTTGCTGTTTGGTGATAATCAGAAATTGAGGCATCCTGAAAGAAAAACTTCACAGGCAACGTCCTCAGTCTTTGAATTCTTTTGGTTAAGGTCTTCTTCCATACAGCTATACTGTCTTGCTGCTTGGAGGAACTATTCCAGGAAGAAGGAACAGAGTAAGCAAATACAGAAAGATAGGACAACAGGAACATATTTGGAAGATCTGCAGGAGAAAATGAATATTTTGAGCTGTGTGTATTGTATCCAAAATAAATGAGAATTCTGAGCATATAGAATTAGATGAGGAGTATAGAAACTGGATAGTCAGCTAATATCTGCCATAGTCAAGATATTTGGCTTTAAAACTTAGGATATAAGTTGGAACTAGAATTAAGCTTATTCTCATAGAGATGGACTTAATCTTCAAAGGAGGGTATAAATTAAGAGTAAAGAAGAGCAAGAAGAAAAATTAGGGGAATCCATGTGTTTTATGGGCAGGAAGAGGCAAAGGAACCAGTGAAGGGATCGTAGAGCATCCCAGGGTGCAAGAGAAGAGGAAGTATGAAAATATCCATGTTAGCATTAAGCCTCTAGTGCCCTCCCATGGATTTTATGGCCGTGGTGTGTTTGGAGCATGGCATTAGTAACAGTCGAATGAGAACCTCACAGAGTATAGGTAAATCTGCGGAGAAGAGAGTAGAACCCAGCAGTTGAATGCATTGGCAAGGTGGGGATGGAGAGTGGGGATCCAGGTGAAAAGGGTAAACTCTGGTTATGAAGGGTCATGGTAGGTGGGCAACGTAGAGAAGGAGGTGTGTCAGCAACCAGGAGCTGTTATGTCCAAAGCTGGGTCAGGTTCAAGGGAACGATAACACCAAAAGCTAAGGTTTGAATCAAGGCAGATCTGTATTTGAATCTCAGCTCTATCACTTACTCACTGGCTTTTAACTCCGAGTGCTAGAAGTTAAACATAAAACAAAAACCTATAATTAATGAGAATAATGGTAATTACCATCTATTAAGCACTTTCCATAAAGGAAGAACTTTACAAACACTATCTCTTTTTCTCATTTAACCCTCATAAGAGTTCTCATTAGATGGATTGTGTTATCCTAATTGTACAGGAAGGAATGCAAGGCCTTAGGTGATGAAATGATATATTCACCATCAGAGAATTAGTTAGAAGGTGGAACCAGGGCTCAAAGCCAGGCTCTAGAACCTGTGTTCTTGACTGTTCTTCTGGGTTGCATTCCTTCCCAAAAGTGAGTATCCCGGCATCAGGGACATGTATCCTGTGGCTGCCCCAGTCTTCTAGCCTCAGGTTTCACCATGGGCCTCTGTGCCTTTCCTTCTCATCCTTACTTGATGTGACATCTGTTGGGGTTCCCAGTAACTTAAAATGGAAAAGATGAGAGGGGAGCTTATTTTTATTTGCTCCTTAAAATTAGGGCTAACTTTTTAATTCTTTGATTTCTTTTTAAAATTTTTTTAATTTTTAATTTTTATGGATACATAATAGTTGTACATATTGACGGGGCAGATGTGATATTTTGATACAAGCATACAGTGTGTAGTGATAAAATCTGGCTAATTGGGATATCCATCAACTCAAACATGCATCATTTCTTTGTGTTGGGAACATTCCAAATCTACGCTTTTGGTTATGTTGAAATTGTTAACTGTAGTCGCCCAGTCGTGCTGTAGGATGATGCCTCACTGAATCGGATGCAGTGTGTGACACTCCTTCCTGCTGTTACAAGTCCACTGACTCTCAGAGTCGGGAATCGGAGTGCCCACGCTGCCTCCAACTCCCCAGTGTAGCTGCACCTAGTGCTACGAAGTGCCAGTCCAGCACCCCGTGTCGGGGTGGGAGCCCTGCTGAGTGTGTACCCACGCAGGGCACACCTGCCCAGCCTGGCATTGCACCCAGTGCAGGGCCTAAGCTTGGAAGCCTATCTCCTACCAACACTCACTAACAAGAGAATCCCCCCCAAGCTTCTACTTCTCTCATAGTAAGCTTAAAAAGTAAAACTCTGAGCAAAAGCCCAAAGAAACTTTGAGAATTATTTCAATTCATTTTTCTTTAATTGACGCTTTGTTCCCCTCAGAGAGTAAGCTCTACAACTTGATTTTCAAAGGCGGATGTGATAATCGGGGGTGCAATGTTTAGGGGTGTGTGTGTGTGTGTGTGTGTGTGTTTGAACCTAAAGGCTCTGAAACTGTGTATAGTCACATATTTTAGTTGGACGTCACTTATGGGTATGAAATCTACTTTGAGTCATGCAGAGGGCCATTTTCCCCTTTGAAAAATGAGAACTACTGGTAGAAAATTCATTAGTTTATGTCCTCATGGGAAACCCTTCTTGTCACGGTTCTTCTCTATGATGAGATCATAATTCATGCATTCATATTGTCACCTCTTGTCACTTCTTGTCCACAGGCAAAAACTGGGACCTGACAGCCGCTCTGAGCGACTATGAGCAGCTCCGCCAGGTGCACACAGCCAATCTGCCGCATGTGTTCAACGAAGGGAGGGGTCCCAAGCAGCCAGAGCGAGAGCCACAGCCCGGGCACAAGGTGGAGCGGCCCTGCCTGCAGAGGCAGGACGACATTGCCCAAGGTACCACTGAGGGACTGAGCCTGGGCACAGCTGCCCAGGCCAGTGCACCGCAGCTCGCAGGTGGGTTGGGTGGTACAAAGAATGGTGGGGTCATCACCTCCCAGGTGCAGACAAACTGGACTCCCAGTGCCTTCTTCCTCACACTCTGCCGAAATGTCCTTTGTTGCTTCTATCCATGGCTCCAGCCTCTACCTCAGAAAAGCAGAAAAATGAGTCTGATTTCCTAGGACCCCAAAAGCCCAATAAGTGAGTAAACACCAGCATTCCTCCTGGAGTCCTGGTTTTTTCAGACCAAACATCTCTAGTTCTTTTACTTATTTCCAAAGTAACAGTCTCCAAGTCTGTTCAGCGCCACATTTCTTGCCCCATGCACTCCATCTTCTCTATCCTTTTTCTTCATTATGAAAGTAAGACATGCTCATTATAACAAAGGAAACAATACTGAGATATATGAGGAACACTTAAGAACGTTCTCCTGCACACCTCCTAGATCTCACCAGTGTAATCATGACTGATAACATCCTGGTGGTCTCCTCCTGCTCCTCTTGCTATCTTGTTCAAAATCAAACACGTCAGAGTCAAATGCACAGCACACTGCAAAGTGCTTGTTTCACTGAGCAGGCGATGATGAACATAATCTCTTAATAGCTACATTTTACTCTATAATATGTTAATTTTCAGATCACTGCTGTATTCATGGTGATTCTGTTTTTGCTTGGGTTTTTGTCGTTGTTATTATTTATTAATTGCCACTGCAAGCAATGCTGAAAGAAACATCTTTATACCTGTAATCTTACATACTGGTGCTTTTGTTTCTATAGGTTTGCATTCCCAGAATGGATTTGCTGTGCCAACACATGTGTGTTTCTAGCTGAATAATTTTAGGACTTCTTTCCTAACATATTTCTACTCACCATGTGTGAAACCGGGTGTTTCCCTTCATTCTTGCTAGCACTGGATATTACAGTGTATGGTGTGTTAGGCCATTCTTGCACTGTATTAAAGAAATACCTAAGGTTGGGTCATTTATTTTAAAAAGAGGATTTATTGGCTCATGGTTCTTCAGGCTTTACAGCAAGTATGGTACTGGCATCTCCTCAGCTTCTGGGGAGGCCTCAGGAAGCTTACAATCATGCAGAAGGCAAAGGGAACAGGCACTTCACATGGCCAGAGTAGGAGCAAGAGAGAATGAGTTGGAAGGCAGAGGTGCTGCATACTTTTAAATGATCAGATCTCATATGAACTCAGAGTGAGAGCTCACTTATCACCAAGAGGATGGCCCAAGCCATTCATGAAGGATCTCCCCCCTCCCATGATCCAAACACCTCACACTAGGCCTCACCTCCAAGATGGCAGATTACATTTCAATATGAGATTTGGGTGGTGACAAATATCCAGACTATATCATTCCACTCCTGGGCCCTCCCAAATCTCATGTCCTTCTCATTGCAAAATACAATCATGCCTTCCCAACAGTCCCCCAAAGTCTTGACTTGTTCCAGCATTAACTCAAAAGTCCAAACTCTCGTCTGAGTCAAGGCAAGTCCCTTCCACCTGTGAGCCTGTAAAATCAAAAACAAGTTATTCACTCCCAAGATACAATGGGGTATAGACATCGGGTATACATTCCCATTCCAAAAGGGAGACATTGGCCAAAAGAAAGGGGCTCCAGGCCCCACACAAGTTCAAAACCCAGCAGGACAATCATTAAACCTTAAAGCTCCAAAATAATCTCCTTTGACTCCGTATCTCACATCCAGGGCACACCAGTGCAAGAGGTGGACTCCCAAGACCTTGGGCAGCTCTGCCCCTGTGGCTTTCCAGAGTTCAGCCCCCACTGCTGCTCTCTGCTTGCAGCTTTTCCAGGTGCAGGGTGCAAGCCACCAGTAGATCTACAATTCTGGAGTCTGGAACGTGGTGGCCCCCTTCTCACGGCTCTACTAGGCAGTGCCCCCATGAGGACTCTGTGTAGGGTCTTCCGCCTCACATTTCCCCTTGGCACTGCCCTGGTAAGGTTGTCTGTGAGGGCTATGCCCCTGCTGCAGACTTCTACCTGGACACCCAGGCTTTTCCATACATCCTCTGAAATCTAGGCAGAGGTTGTCAAACCTCATTCACTCTTGCATTCTACATGTCTACAGGTTTTTAACACCATGTGAAAGTCACCAAGGCTTATGGCTTGCACCCTGTGAAGTAGCAGCCCGAACTGTATCTGGGACCTTTTGAGCCAAGGCTGGAGCCGGAGCAGCCAGGATGTAGGGAGCAGTGTCCCAAAGCTGCACAAAGTAGCAGGGCCCTGGGCCTGGCCCCTGAAACCATTCTTTCCAACTAGGTCTCTAGGCCTTTGATGGGAGGGGCTGCTGTGAAGGTCTCTGAAATGCTTTGGGGCCTTTTCTCCATTGTTTTGGGTATTAGCACTCGCTTAGCTCCCTTTTTATTATGCAAATATCTCTAGCAAGTAGTTGCTCCTCAGCCTGCTCGAATTCTTCTGAAAAAGCTTTTTCTTTCTTTGCCACATGGCTAGGCTGCAAATTTTTCAAACATTTACATTCTGCTTTCCTTTTACATTCTGCTTCCCTTAAATATAAGTTCCAACTCGTTTCTCTGCTCCAGCATCTGAATGCAGACTGTTAGAAGCAGCCATGCCACTTCTTGAATACTTTGCTGCTTATCAATTTCTTCTACCACATACCCTAAATCATCAAGTTCAAACTTCCACAGATCCCTAGGGTATGAACAGAATGTAGCTGAGCTCTTTGCTTGTAGCAGGACGAGCAGGACGAGCCACAGACAAAACTCCTCAGACACCAAGTTAAAGAAGGAAGGGGTTTATTTGGCCGGGGGCTTCAGCAAGACTCCCGTCTCAAGAGCCAAGCTCCCTGAGTGAGCAATTTCTATCCCTTTTAAGGGCTCACAACTCTAACGGGGTGTGCATGAGAGGGTTGTGATCAACTGAGCAAGCACAGGATACGTGACTGGGGGCTGCATGCACCGGTAATTAGATTGGAACGAAACAGGACAGGGATTTTCACAGTGCTTTTCTATACAATGTCTGTAATCTATAGATAACATAACCGATTAGTTCAGGGGTCAATCTCTAACTACCAGGCCCAGGGTGTGGTGCTGGGCTGTCTGCTTGTGGATTTCATTTCTGCCTTTTAGTTTTTACTTGTTCTTTCTTTGGAGGCAGAAATTGGGCATAAGACAACATGAGGGGTGGTCTCCTCCCTTATGCTAAGGCAAAACATGTGACATTTGCTCCAGTCCCCAATAAGTTATTCATATCCATCTGAGACCTCCTCAGCCTTGACTCTGTTGTCCATTTTCATTATCCATATTTTGGTCATAACCATTTAACCAATCCCTAAGAAGTTCCAAACTGTCCCTCACTTGCTGTCTTCTTCTGGACCCTCCAGACTTCCAACCTCTGCCCATTACCCATTTCCTAAGTTGCTTTCACATTTTCAGGTACCCCGTGGTACTGATTTTCTATGTTAGTCCATTCTTGCATTGCTATAAAGAAATATCTGAGGCTGGGTAATTTATAAAGAAAAGAGGTTTACTTGGCTCATGGTTCTGCAGGCTTAAAGGAAGCATGGTGCTGGCATCTGCTCAGCTTCTCAGGAGACCTCGGGAAGCTTACAATCATGGCAGAGGCCAAAGAGGGAACAGGCACTTTCATGGCCAGAGCTGGAGCAAGAGAGAGAGAGTGGTGGGTGGGAGGTGCCGCACACCTTTAAACAACCAGATTGCGTGTGAACTGAACAAGAGCTCACTTTATCACCAAGGGGATGGTCCAAGCCATTCATGAGGCGTCTGCTTCTAATCCAAACACCTCCTACCAGGCCGCCCCACCAAGACTGGGGATCACATTTCAACTTGAGATTTGGAGACAAATATCCAAACTACATCAAATGTGTTTATGTTGCTTTTCTACTCTGAAGAGTGGAAAATGGTGTCTTGTTTACACTCTTATCTTGCCATTTGCTTGTTAGGCCATTGGATTTCCCCTTTGTAACTTGGCTGTTCATGTACTTTGTCCATTTTCTATTGATTAGTTTGCCTTTTCTTATCAATTTGTTTCTCTCTTTGTAATAAAGACTAAAACATATATTTCGTGTGTGTGTGTGTGTGTGTGTTTCCCACTGTATCACTTGCCTTAGGACTTTCTTTTCAGAATGTTTTCCCATACATGTTTACATTATCTTGCTCTCATGGCTGATGAGCTTTCTCTCTCACTTTGGAAGGTTTCTTGGACTACAGAGTTACTGAAATATATTCTTTTTTTTTTTTTTTTTTTTTGAGATGGAGTCTTGCTGGAGTGCAGTGGCACAATCTCGGCTCACTGCAAGCTCTGCCTCACAGGTTCACACCATTCTCCTGCCTCAGCTGGTACTACAGGTGCCTGCCACCACGCCCAGCTAATTTTTTTGTATTTTTAGTAGAGATGGGGTTTCACTGTGTTAGCCAGGAGGGTCTCGATCTCCTGACCTTGTGATCCACCTGCCTCAGCCTCCCAAAGTGCTGGGATTACAGTCATGAGCCACCACGCCCAGCCTGAAATATATTCTTATATTTAATTTAAATTTTGTTCTTTGAGTCTTTTCATCAATTTGAAATTTTTATAATAGTAAATAATATGGTTTTGCTTTCTTCTGGATTGAGAGTGAGTTATTTAAGTACATTTCCCCACTGAACTGAACTAAAATGCCAGCCTTGCCTTATATTAAATTCTCAACATACCTGGACCTATTTGCATACTTTGTTCTGCCCACCCCATGGCTGCCACCCTGTTACACTTGACTCAGTGGTTTCACAGGGTATCACTCTCTGCTAAGCAAACCCTTCTATTGCTATGCTTTTCCTTTTTTTTTTTTTTTGCTGTTTTTGAATATTTATTTTGCCATCTAAACCTTAAAATTATAATTCTGAGTGGAATTGGAATAGATTTTTATTTCATTTTAAAAATAATTTGCATTCGTAATATTGTTCTTCTATCC